GCCGCCAACGAGGGAACATGTGGGAGCTGCACAAACCAGCAGGTGTGATACCTGCTACAGCAGGTGGGCAATACCAGCCAGGTGTCAGCCGGTAGCATTAGGACCAAGCTTCTTCGAGTGGCCAGTCGCTGTGCCTCCCCTCTGGTTTGTCCCCTCCGCGCCTATCAACATCGGCAGTTTCTGCTGAATGTCGCTCGGGGGGACCAATGACCAATCCCTTGCTGGAGGGCGCCAACTTGCCCAGGAAGGTACATGAGGCAAATGGGAATTGAACGGAAGACATCCTGAATGCCACTTGCAGCGTGCCTTACCCACTAGCCCATCTTCACTAAAATAGTAACGTACTGTCATTCTCGCTGCAGAATGACCGTACGTTTTCTTCGGGGGAAGACGGTAGGCCGCTGGATACTGTTCAAGGGTGTACCAGCTGAGCCAGTTGGTAAGATATGATGACCAAATGGTGGTGGGCGCCATGCTTGCCCAGGAAGGTGCATGCGGGGGTTGAACCCAAGAGCTCCTGAATGCCACTTGCCTGCCTTACCCACTGAGGCTGTTGAATACAGTAAGTGAGATAGAGATACATGATAATCTGGTGCACCAGCTGAAACAGTAGGTGAGATAGAGATATGATAATCTGATATCATACGACTACTGTAATCGAACTCCAATCTGCTTGCTTGCTTTTTTTTTTTTTTTNTTTTTTTTTTTAACTCAAATACCATTCGTATTAAAAACAAAGCGAACCGAGGTCCGGGACCTCACAATTCAACCCGGAGTTATCCTGGCAGCTTTAGCCAGTTTCGCTTATAAATCTGGCAGAAAAGGAACTGAAGACTAATATCATGCCAAGCAATTTCTCTTAGTTTTTGTTACCCAATTTCGCTTACGGCTCAATACAGCCCGTGAATCGGTCAAGAAACTACAACTAATCTATGAAGTAAATCCTGCTGAACTAACTCGACCTATCGAATTCACCAGAGTTTCCAAGGCAGGTGCTGGGTTACAAATCAAGTCTACGACGGGGCCGGAATCAACCTAGTAGACAAATTCAAGCTCCGAGCTAAGTTCGCCACCCTGGGCTCTTCCCTTTCCTACAAGCAAGAGGTGTGTGCTAAAGTGCACACTATAACCAGAGATAGAGGGCAGCAGGGATCTGGCCTATAAATCCTGTCAGATACGAAATGTCAGAATTGTAGTAACTTAGTAAACCCACTTCCAACTTCTAGCTCATAGAAGAGTCATGCTGAAATCCAAATGAGAACAGGCTTGGATCTGGCTTACCAACTCGGACACCCGCAGAGAACCCGAGCTACGGAATACACTCCCACCCTCGGGCACCGATACTCCTGATGTTATAATTGCCACTAAGAGGAGGGAGGAAACCCTAAAACATGAAAAGTACGCTGTTATTGCATACAAACCAAGTACTAATACTATGTCAAACAAAAATTCACTGACAACTGACACTTATGAAGGCAGACCAGGAAATGACTGAAAACATCCAAAAATAAGACCAAGGACAGAGTAACTCAAAAGTCATGGAGACGAAACTGGACTGTAATTTCGAATTTGAGGTAAATAAAGACCAATATAAGAGTAGTCGATGTAACTGAAGTAAGAGTGTCTCCATGTATGGTGACGCGGTTTCACCCAGTCGACCATACAGCCCGTGCCCGTCGCCCTACAGGTCATGTCTTCACGCTCCCGGTTGAGGTAGTCACTAGTACTCCGTACATGCTCCTCAGAACAACAGTCCCACCGTTGCCAGTTGCCCTCGCACTGCTCCTGGAGGTGCCGCTGTCTGACTCACCGTTCGCCAAGCTCTAGAGCCTCTCTCCCTTCTTCGTGCAGTTTGCAATGTATTTAACCCATAGATGGGCATAATGTCGCAGTAGATAACACTTGAATTCCGGAGATTGAAGGTCGTAGGAGGGACGGGAACCACCCTGCTCCCTGATATTCCACAGAGAGGTGCAACCCTTTATCAAGGCTGAGGGTGATGGCCGAACCTAGAGAGTATCGAGTACTCCATAGCTCCGCCCCCACACCCCGAATCCCGCGCCTTGCTGCCGACGCAGAGCGCCGCCGTCTCCGAATAAAAAACGAATTTTCAAAAACTTCCGAAAAAAAACTATGTTATGGAGACAAATAAACTAAACAACATTTGCCTGAGCAGTACATCCAAATTCTTTACCAAATTTGAATTAAAAATCCAATACAGAAAATAAACATTATGATAAAAATAAGAAAACATAAAAAGAGAATTAAAATGAGTGAGTGTGCCAGCACCTTTTCGACACCGCCATCGTTGCCGATTTTTAATTATTTTTTGGCATTGACAAATGCCCTGAAAATTTACAGATATTTAGTTTACATAATCAATAACTCATTTAAAAATTTGCAAAAAATAATAAAATTGTTTAGCCCCCGAAAAAAAGTGAAAACAAAAAGTTAAAAGTTAAAAAAAAAACAAAATAGTGAGTGGGCGAGCACATTTTGACACCCCCATCTTTGACGATTTTTAATGTTTTTTTGGCTTAGCAGAATGGCTTCAAACTGTATAGGCGTGTAGGTTACATCATAGAGAACTCAGAAAAAAAATTTCAGAAAAAAGAACTTATTTTTAGGCTCCGAAATATTTTTTGGCCGGGGCCAAACCTGGAGGTGTTCGGCCCCCGAACGGGACCCCGAACGCCCGAACGTTCGGGGGCCAGCCCGGGGGCCCCCGAATGTTCGGTCAGGTAACCCTGTATATATATATCGTCACAAATATATATATATATAAACTCCGACGAAACAGTTTGTCACAGCCCCTCGTTTGTTGTCCTCTTCTCTCTCTCTGCCTACGGTTTACCGGGCAGTTCTATTTGACGATATATATATATAGGCAGAGAGGGAGAAGAGGACATATATATATATATATATGAAGGACAGATCACTTTATTGCTCAACAAAGTTTTGGGCTGGGGACCCACAATTCCACCCGGAAAAATATCTGACAGCATCAATCAGCTTAGCTTTATGCTTCAGAGCCAGGAGATAGACTAGGAGGCTCGCCACACAGGCTGTCGAATGTCGAAAATTTTTGACAGGTGTCAGAAAATTTTTGACAGCAGGGCGGTCGACAGTTTTCCCCCTCTTTGCCACATAGCCTGTCGAGGGGCAAGGTTTTTGGTCATGGCCAGGTGGACGAGTGTCACGGAACAGTCGCTGACAATGCAAATTCCAACCTGACAATGCAAATTCCAACCTGACAATGCAAATGTGAACGCAATTTTCGAAAGGTCGGCCGACCACTGTCGAATTTCCATCACCTGCAGGCTGGTGGAAACGGTTGCTGGAGGGCGGCTGTCGAAAGGACCATTCTGACACCTGTCAAAAGTTTTTTGAGCCGCAATTCTTCAAAAGTCTGTGTGGCTATGCAAAATTATAGAAAACCTGGTTTTTGACAGCCTGTGTGGCGAGCCTCTAGGAACAAATCCGGTCCCTGAGACCTTTGCCCTGTTGGCCTTGCTCTGAGCAAAAGCCATATTCAAATTCAATAGACGCCAGGCCCAGTTCTCTTTTTTTTTTTTTTTCTCCACTAGGAGGGCTCCATCTATTGGTGGGGCCGGGCCCAGTTCTCGGCACGTGTCCCTCCGCTCGAATAAGATCGAAGCCCTGACTGCTGAAATCTTTGTCCCACTATGTAAAAAAGGGAAAACGGAAAAAATCTTTGTCCCAAATGTGCAAAACAAGAATGAATCTTCCCCTACAACGTGGGAAAGTACACCGCCATATTTCTTTTCTTGTCTTTTGGGCGTTAGGTGAGTAGTGGGGCGAGGCCCTATAAGGGCCAGATCCCACTGGCAAAGAGGATTGGAATAAGTCTCTGAATCTGGACGTGTTTTTGGAGAGGTGCAAACAATTGTGATTGAATGCTTTTCTGCATGTGTGCTTGGAACACGTCCAGATTCAGCCACTTATTCCAATCCTCTTTGCCAACGGGATCTGGCCCTAAGACGGTCAATGGGACGCCCGGCCCGCCGATTCGCGGCAGCTGACGCTCCGTGCATTGTTGAAGGGGCAAAAAAAAGGGGGGCAAAAAAAAGGGGGTAGCGTAGGGCAAAAAAAAAGGGGGGTCCCAAAGGAAACACACACAAAAAAACAAGGGGGTAGGGTAGGAAGGGGTAGGGCAGAGCAATGAGACGCATCGTCAGCGACTGTCGGTTGAAACGTCGCCGACACTCGAGACAGACCGTCTTTCCCGAATAGAACGCGCCCTGAAAATGAACGTAGGTATGTTTCCAGCCCGATACAGTCAAAATGAGGCTGCAGGGGATGACCGTAGGGTAGGGAGCGAATCCAAGTGAGACAACTGAATGAAATGAAAACGACTCCTCGAGTCAGGTTGTAGCAGCCGAATTTATTTATCTTCGTTTGTTTGTTTGTTTGTTTTTTTCTTTTCTTTTTTTTTAATAAATTTGGACCATTTCTCGATTTATGCGTGTCATCCCTGCGCGTTACAGGTACAGTAATATACACGGTACAGGTATAGTATATACAGTATATAACATTGTAACATTATAATAAATAAATAATGGGCCTCGCTCCACTGCAGAATTTCTAAACGAATCTGGATCTGGATGCCCAATGCATTGGAAATGTTCGACCGGTCAGAACGCATCCGGTCCATGAAACGGTCCAGATACGTGTCAGTTGTCGAGTAATGGAGCGAGGCGCAGTGTTATATATCTATACATCTGCACAGGAGATTCCAGTCCTGGGATTGTGATTTGTTCCCTATACTACATCTGCACAGGAGATTCCTTTCCTGGGATCGTGATTTGTTCCCCGCGCAAAGATCGCGGCCTACGGCGCGCGGCGGAGGATTGCTACGTGCATGTGTCCAACAACGTTTCGCTTCTCTCCTGTCGATTCGGCGGAGGACGGTGGTTGTGGTTGCATTTTGGCGGGAACGGACGTATATTTTGGGACGCTGGTTGCATTTTGGCGGGAACGGGCGTATATTCTGGGACGGTGGTTGCATTTTGGCGGGAACAGGCGTATTGTTGTGGCGTAAAACAAGGTATCTCGTTGGGAAGAATTGCGCGCGTAATTGCGGTGGAGCTTTCACCCTATTACTAATTACTTCGGCGTCGACGAGGAGCGGGAGCGGAGAGAGACTTGTGCCACGTGGGCTGGCAGCCCATCTGGCCGAAGGGTACCCACGTGCCACGTATAACTGACTGTTGAGGAGCAGGTCATGAGCTCGGACCCTCGTGAAATCAGTTGGAAGTTGTGCCACGTGGAACTGCCGGCGGGAAGTAATTGCGCGGTCTACGCAATTTCGGCAAGCAACGGGCGAAAGCGCGCCGAGCGCGACGTGGCGCCACGTGGCGGCAATTCCTGATCTTCGGGGAATCGGTAGCTTGCGCCGGTGAAGAAGATCGCAATTTGGCGAAATAGGAGGCCTGAGAGCGTAATTAGTAATCACGCTAGAATTTTCTCGAAACTAATCTGGTCGTCAATCGTGGCCAGATACGGGGGCTGAGGAAAAGACAGCTGTGAGAAAACCCTAGTAAGGCAAAAGACACTAGAAGAGAGAGGGAGGGAGACAGAGGGGAGGGGGAGGAGGAGGAAGTCTGTTCGCTGCTGAGGCGCTTCAGGTTCTGCCACGATGGACGGTCATTCATTTGGCGCGCTTTTGCTTCTGCTGACGTGTCTTTCGCTAAGCGCAGCGCAGTGTGTGATGGGTGCTGCCACCTGGGGCCCGTGTGGTAGGTACCTAGACACCTTTTGACTTCTAATTCCATTTTTATTTTTTTATTTGGAGGGAGGGGGAGGAGAGGGGGGTGGGTGGGTGGCGGTGTTGTGTAATGTGAAGAAGAAGGTAAGCAATTGCCAAAATTGCTCTTCAGACGCAATAGGAA